CGAACAATGAAATGACATTATTTTTTTAATAACTAAACCACTATACTACTAGCCGTGATAGTTCATTCTCCGGGCGGTCGCTTTTCATTCAATATACTCGAGCGACCCGAGTTCAATTCTCAGTGCTGGCACCAATGAAACACGTGCAGCGGTAAAGGGAAACATCGCGAGGAAACCTGCACATTTTGAAAAAAAAGTGTGTGCGTGTAACCTTTACGCGCGATTGAAGTAAAACTTCTTTGGCGTTGACGGCATATATCACTGAAATGATAAAATATTTAGTAACGTCATAAGTATATGTCATATTTTAAAAATATGAAATATACTTATGACGTTACTTCCGTCAGAAAAAGCGTTACTTCCGTCAGAAAAAATCTGAGTTACTCCCTAGTCGCGCCTGAAGAAGTTTTACTTCAATAATAACACAAAGAATATTTCGAAGATATTACGCGAAGTCCGCCAATGCGCACAGAAGTCGCACACCCTAGTACCCTCCGTACAGAGAAGGCCTTTTCCAGAAATTGTGCATTGATATTTTAAACGATGACGTGATAAACGAGCAAAAAAACTATTCGATGATGTGTGAAGTGTGTCAATTCGCAGTGGGGTCGCGTGGTGACTACGCCCTAATACTCTCGGTTACAGATGAGGCCCTTGCAGGGGAAAAATATAGGCTGTTACTTTACTTTTTTTTTACTTTACTTTGGTACTAACACTACTAATGACTACTCAATAATATTTTTTGCCTACAGTGGTCCAGAAATCAAATTTTCTACCTAAAGCTTAATCTAGGCTTAACGTAAAAATATTGTCACTGTTTATTATTATATATTTTTATTATTTTTATTCATACCATTTCAAAGTGAATAAAAATAAATAAATATGTGAATAAATTCAAAAAATAAATAAACAAGGAACATCTCTTAATTTTTCCCTTTTTTTTTTTTTAGTGCATAGTATGTATATCAGATATTTGTTACAGTTAGAGAATGTAGCAAATATTTTACTTCTGACACCATCATTGATTTCTTTTAATGTAACAGAAATAGTGTGTGGCAAAAATGTAAGCGACAAGACAATGAAAGACATCAAAACATCCCCCGAACGAAAAAGCCCCACAAAATCTTTCTATGGGCAAACGGTTAAAAAGTGGATGTTTATTAAACGGTCCTGCGCTTAACGAACAAAACGATAAGTGACGTCACAGAGGTAGACCGGCGCACGAGGCACAAAAAGTGGGCCCCGGTGCGTCCAAAAAAAAGCCAACTCCCGTTGCAACAGTAACGTTAGTAAGTTATCTCCTATAGCCGTAAAACAATTAAAATTCTACCTTTTGCGCAAAATTTCTTTTCTACGAAACGTTTTTTTTTTTACAAATCGGCGAACGTTAGCAAATTTTAATGTCTTCTGTTTTTTCTTGTTTTTTGTCTTTAGAAGCTTCACTAACTGCCGCACAACATACTACAGATAAAAGTTTAATTTTTACTAGCTAGTAAATTGCGATGACTTTGCAATAATCCTAGTTTAAATACTTAAATATGTTACGATGTAAGTTACTTGAAATAAAATTTAATAACTACTAAAAGCATATTAACGTATGCTTAAAACTAAACCTTACGTACGTCCTATTAAATTGCCAACACATTGTCAATGTTCTGTCACAGGTCCAACCCTAATCAAAATGAAATCGAAGGTTTGATTGTCAAAAAATAAAAACTGCAAAATTAAGGGCTTACATTAGATATTTTATCAAGCATTTTATTATTTTTTCCTAAATTTTTAGTGAACGATTCTTTTTTAAAAGGATTTTACAAAAAGTTTGCCACACTTTCTCAGTATTTGTTTATCACTCACACAAATATCCTATTCCTTATTAGTACTCGAAGTACATCTAAAAATGTAACTCGTTTTAGAAATCCGGATTGTAATTAATTAACACGTGACATTGGTCGCAGTGCTCAAAATAGGGAGAATTGCTCCCTTCTTCGAGCCCTATAAAATAAAATTATTGATTCCCGTAAAATTATTGAGGCCATCAAAACGATTGCAAATGACTTGACAAGACAAAATGTTATTATTAGGAACACAAACTCTACCCTTCTTTAACACAAACTCGAAGTAGAGCTTTTCGAATCGGAATCGACTGTTATATTGATGGCCGATTTAATGATTACACTTTGCTACCAGTCAACGCGACTAGCGTAAATCATTTGATAAAGCGCAGTTGCAGCGGTCGTCTAAGTCAATGCTTAATTAAACATATTTATTGCTTGGTTAAACTTAGCTGTTTATTGCTTAATTATAATTGATTATTTACTCCCTCCGATGAGCATCGCGGTAGGGAGTGCGATTAAGTTACACCGGCGTTAAGCCTAAATCTGAGCCGATGTAATTATTCATTGTATTATATATATTTGTACTATCCAGTGATAATCTTATATCCCTTAATGAATCTTAATTTTCTTCAACAACCTTAAAACCGTATTTATTGTAAAAATAATATCTCTTTTTCATTTATTTTAATGAAAAAAATTATATTTTTAGTTGTCTGTAGATATTCAGAGATAGCATTGGCATTGTTTATTGCGTTTTCACTTTGACTATTCGTTTGTCACAATTTTTCTTACCACATCTAAAATATCTCAACGAAATTAGTGCTACATGAATTATAGTCATTATTTATTAATTAGTTACCACAGCTCTCCGTTATATTATACTCGCAAATATCGGTGCCAGAACATGGATGGAAAGCGAATTTCAAAATAATGGATCGTAAAATCTTATTAGGGCCTTTAAACCTTAGAACAGTTAAATAGGATACAAAAATTTAACGGTAATGTTGCACAATAATGAGTGCATTTTAAAAAAGAAGCAATAGAAAGCAATGGTCATAAAACTGTCCTTGAGAAAGTTGCAGTAGGTTTTTTAAATTAATAATTTCTTGTATTTGCTCGATTGCACTTTATGAAAAACTATTTTTTTTTTATTTATCGCGTTTATTTTTAATTTTAATTCTCGACATTTCGAACCCTTAACCGCGCTCATGGTCACGGGATAAACTGAGGCAGACGTCTGAACGTAATAGTTAACCCGGGCTACCTTCAGTTTTTTAATTATTAGTTTTGTGTTCAATCTACACAGAAGGTGATAATTGTCTCTTGTCTTAATTTTTTTCATGGTAGCACCCATCCCCTTCTCTATTGATATTAGGATGTTTTATTTATTCAGTCAACAGTCTCGCGAATCATTCTTGGGAGGAATCGGTATTCTTTTACAAGGATCTGTGATCTATCAAGCCTCATGTAGTGGTTGGGGTGATTTAAGTAGTGCTTACACACGGCAGACTTGTTTGATCAACTTTTTTTCTGTGAGAAAGTGGCAAACGAGCTGACGGTTCACCTAATGTTAAGTGATAACCGCCGCCCATGGACACTTGCAACACCCGTGGGGTTGCAGATGCGTTGCCACCTCTTAATAATGTGGGCCCCGGCTACCTCACTAACCAGACGAAACGCAGAAGTGCAACATTTCTACTTTACGCCAGTCTTCTGTTGGGTCGTGGTACTTACCCGGACGGACCTGCCCATTCGTGCAACAGCGAACACTATTGCGTGCTCCTACCACTTATCCAGTTAAAACTGTGAAAATATGTTTTATGTCAGCTATATTTTCCTTCACGTGGGTTTTTACTGCTCTTTTTGTTTGTCCTATATAAGAGAGCCCACATGCACAGTCAAGCTTGTACACTGACCAATCTTCTTCAGCGGCTTTTAGAATGTTTGAAATGAAGCCTGCTTCAATATGTAGCCAATCTTTTCGGCGACTCTTCTGATATATGGTAGTGCAGGTACTCGCTCCACTATGGCTGGTTTTACTCAGTCACTGTGACGTAGGCGCGGTGCCCGAAACTTGTTGTCATGCAGAACTTGTTCCACAGGGTCAATATATTTATTATTATGTTAGTTCTTATTTAACATGACATTAAGTAATAGATTTAGAACAAATTTTCATAATAGTACCAGCAATAATAGTCTACTAACACAAACTACATTTATTATAATACTTTAAAGCAAACATTAATAACTGGTCAAATGTTCCAACTATCAAGAAATAATTCCATACAAAAGACATAAACGTGTTCATTGACATTGTCAATGCCATTTCCGTTCCATAAATGGTTATAATTCACTTTATGTAAGTAAATCTTAAACATTTATACAATGTGTTTACAATTTTTTTTTATTTAAGAGAAAAAGGTTGAGACTTGGTTGAGTTTCGCCCTTATTGCGGTTTTGCGACATTGCAAAATGTAAATAATCATTTAGAAATAAATTGCAATTTACCGTCAAAAAGAGTATTATGGGTTCAGTTTTTACTTTACTACCGAATACATCGTATCAGTTGAGTGATGAGATCGTTGTTTAACGTGTTTAATTCATTTCAAAATAGTTTAATTCATTTTTCTTATCTTACAAATGAAAGAACTTAACTTAAAAAAGAGCCCCATAGAGAGTATTAATAGCATAGAGAGTATTTAAATTTGAAAGCAAACGAAAATTAGCAAACAAATACGCTACTCGAAGCACAAATTATATTCTATTGAATAAACAGCAGCGTTTGAAGATTGATTCCAACAAAACGAAAATCATAAAATTGTCATATCCACCAAAATAAAAAAATTTAATCGAAATTCCAACGGTCTGGTTAATTAATTTATATTCGTCATGTAAATATAGGTTCATAAAAATATTTGCATATTGATTTGAACCTGTAATTTATGCGATTAAAAATAGAAATTTAAAGTAATATTTTGAGTAAACATACATTACCAGATATCCATAAAACTCAATGGAAATACCGCCGTAGTAATGCATAACTTATAATTCAAAAAAAGTCACGTAAAGAACAAAATATGTAAATTCGATGCATGGTATTCAATCGGAATTTCAATACTGTTACTCCCCTGTCAAGAAATAAAGAAAGTTTCAAAACAAAGAGTAATGACGACGAATACAAGCAGATGTGAGCAATATTATTACAATGTTTCTTGACGGTTTTCCAATAATGGCGTAAAATTAAAGAAAATTCCGTAGTAAAAACTATGTATAATAAAAATCAGACAAAGGTAAAAATGAAACGAGTATTTAAATCAAGCATTATTTCAATTTTAATTTGCTATTTTTCTGTATAACCAATTGAGATATATACCGTACAAACTATAACGCTTTAAATTTTTGTACAAACTCTTACAGAATTTTAATGAATCGGCCGAAATTATTTATGTTCGATTACAGATGGACATAAGCTTTAGGGATTAATTTTATTTTAATTTTATATTAATATTAAAAACCTAAAGAGACACATGAAACTTTTCTGAAAATGTAATCGATTAAAACCTTCGCAATCGTCTCTACGTTTCGAAGTTGCGACAATCGCGGCGCGATCTGTAAGGTATAGTTTTATTAATCGACAGCCGAGCTGCGCTCGCGCAGTGGCAAAGTTCACGCTGTCCCACCGCAGGGCATACCTATACCATAGCGCACAGCGTTAGAGAGGGGGATAGGTAGAGTCGTTTGGCCGCAGGTGCGACCGAGATAATCGTATTTGCCGCACTTGCGTTAGAAGTTAACCACGCCCACCTATCGGCCGCAAACGCGCATCCTCCTCCGAGGGCATTCGTGCGCGCGCGCCGCCGCAGCAACACGTCGAACGCGTCCGATCGATACAGCGAGGATGGAATCGATCGAGCGACTCTACGCAAACCGTATCGTCAACAACTGCTAGTCCGGACCGTTCCGCCGCTGAAAGTCCGCTAATCGGCCTGTCAACACAACGCATACGGACAATAAACGTAACAGAGTGCGCGCGCGTTTTCAGTTTACGTTTTCAGTTAGAGCCGCGCCGCAAATGAATCCGTTTGTCCGCATGAAAGTGACTGCATTGTGACATTTTGAAATCGACAGTACTAGTTATTGATGCGGCGCGTGTGCGGGTCGCTGAGTGTATGTACTACGTTTATTGACTTTGGGGAGCGTCGGGAGTAAATACTCAGTGTTGTGATTGTGGGATTGACAACGGAAGCTGTACGTTGCCTGTTTGACTTTCGCCGGATTCACGAAAAAATAATAAAGGTAGGTTGTTATGGCGCTCAATTAGCACGTCTACTTAGCCCCTCTAATATGTCATGTGTGCGTATCGAATTGACACAGAAAATATCGAAACTACACCAATATTATCGGTAAACCTTAAATAACTTAATGTTTCTAAAGATTTCTAAACTTAAAATCTTTTTTAATTTTTAAATTTAAAATCGTGGGCATATTCTTAAAAAGACATTTCGTGATAGACCCAACACAGTTAGAACGTAATATATGGCCTCTATTAGTTCATTTATTTAATTAACATAACATTCTTTATGATATTGTTATGAAAATAATAATCTTAATTTCCGAAATATCTCTTGATTATTAAGCTCTGCTTTATAAAGACGTCTAAATAAAAAGAAAATAACTTTCTCCCTACAAAAGACATCAACGAGCGGAGCATTTCACCTTAATTAAGTGTCACCAATTTCTGAACTGTATCTGTCACTTAGGGTATGGCTATTATTACTTTTTACTTAAACATTAACAAACATTAAGTTATCGTTGAAATGTGTAAAGTATTAAAACTTTTAGTAACAACTTGCACTAAAAGCAAAAGTTTTATTTTTAGTAATCTATCACGTATTTCATAATAATGAAACGATCGTCTAAATATATATTATGTATTTTATGATTATATATTGATTATACATTATATAGATTATGGATCGTAATCCTTTTTTAAGAAGCTTTAAAGGCTTAAAAGCGTATTATAGATTAAAATAAACGTATTCTCATGGTTGCATTTGACTCGCCTAACTTAAATAACTCATTCTTCATTTCCAAGGGTTTGTTCACCGTTAATCTGTAAATAAAGTCAGGCTCTTCGTTTAACTTAAGATTACAGTAAAACCCAGGTGCGATCTTCAAGCGTTTTAAATATTGAATCATGAAATTCAATGTAATGGTGTTGCGACCTTTCTATTAATATTTTGGTAATTAAATTCTGATGAGTACACTGGTTCTTAACACTAAAATTACGGTACCTCAACTATAGATTAGGGTAAGAGCGGATAAATGAAATTTTCATCTTAAATTTATATTTACATAACTTTTATTTTGTCATTATTATTGATTTGTTTTTACTTAATCGAAAATAGTACAAGCAGTACAAATGAAACATTTCGCGCAAACTGAAAATTGCATTAAGCACATGGATTTTAACGACATCTTAACAATATTTGAAAAAACATCTAAAATCCTCTTATACCGGACATATTTCGTTTTGCTAAAATATTTTCAAGTATCATTAGCCGGTGACTGTAACAATTTACACAATTTATTGGGTACGAAAAAACAGTGTTAATCAAAAAATCAAAATTGCGTGGTCAAATTTTTTTCGGACATCCCGTTATATCGTCCCATTCTCCAAAGTCATATAAAAACAGCAATGACAAATGTAGACGAGGAAAACGTAAACAAACAACCATATTTAATCGACGAACAGACAATCAGATAATCGCTGATATTATGATCAACGGCAACGGAGCTGCCGTGTAGCACTGACCCCGTTCAAAAATCGAAATTCAATTGAACAATTGACCATTATATTCGTAATAGTTGACGCTAAAAAAAAATTATAAAAACAACATTATCTGGCGACAATAAGGCGCCGCGTGGGAAACATTCCCACATGTATATTAATCTGTGTAAGGACAAAAACCTTACGTTGTTAACGTGAACTCTACATCGGCTCTACCACGAGAAAGAACAATGAAGGCGAAAATAATCAATGACAAAACCCACTTATTCGGACAAGTCCATAGTTTATTGTTCATGTTTGACCGGCTGTTGCTCGGTAGCTGGATTCGATGATTTCCGAACGATTCATGTTTTAAGTGTTAATGCGTTATTACGGTTAAGGGAAACAAACATTATTTACCTTCAAAAATGTTGAGTAGGAAAATCGATTATATTAAGTATTTCTGTAAAGGACTTCTTATATTTTACTACATTTCGCTCCTAGATTACGGCAGTTTAAGAGTTTGTTTCTTTCGATTAGAATTAGTAAAAACTACCACGATTCCTTAAGAAACGATTCGAATTCAAAATTACAAGCTATGTACAAGTGTGAAATTATCTTAGTGAAATTATCTAAAATAGTAACAACAGTGTACGAATCAATTTTCCATTATTTTACTAAGAAAGTCAAAATTAAATTCACTAGTTAAATAAAACATTACTAGTACTCGCGGCACTGACTTGACACAATTGACCAATCAGGAAATATTTTTATTAACATAAATAATTACGACACGCCAGTTGTAAGATTGTATATAAAGAAAAAATATTAATGCAATGAATTTTGCACTATTCAAATAAATGCAGTGCTTTAAAACGCTTTAAAAACCACTCTACATATCTATGTTTTAATAAACTTAAAATAATTAAACATTTTTTTACGTCACTTAAACAAAAACAGCCGGCGTGCGCTCCGTTCTGTTGCAAATTAGCACACAATCAATCAACAGAGTGCGGCCCGTTTACGCGATTTCGACAATGTCAAAGGCTTTTCAGCGTCGCACACTAATTGCCGGCAAATTAGCGGGTTGCGCCAACGACGCCTCTGAACGGTTTTGTCCGAAACTGTCGCAATTCGACCGCTTTTTGCGTCCATATAAAGATGAAATGATACATCACTGCCGCATTTACTATTCACACTGAGCCTACCAATCGCCATCAATTGCAATCGCCGTTGACTTTTATAGTTGTTTTCATTGTACTATTTTTACTTTTTGTTTCATTAATGATAAAAATAGTAACAAGACAACTTGGCTTCTATGGTTTTGCCGATTAACTTACATTAGTACTGTAGGTAAAGTTGGCAACATTTTTTTTTTTCTCTTCTTAAATGTGCTATGGATGTATCCCATAAACAATACGCTGGTTCCTTATTCATTTAAAATTCACACACATCGCAAAATGCACTTTCGTATCATTGGTACCTTACTCATATATGAACTACGAAAAGATACCAATTAATTACCTCTACAGGCGAACTACTCACACAATTCACCCTAATAACATAAAAATATCTTGGTGTCACCAAATACCTTTAGCATCAGACTGTTAGTTATTCAACTGAAACAACTGTCGACAGGATAATATACTTAATGTCACTAAGAAGTATATTGATATACGAGCTTAAAGTTGCATTTACATGTCCAGTTGGTCAATCAACATTCCTGTTACATTCCTATAAGACTCAAGGTTCTGTTCTGATAAAGTACTCCCATCTTAGCAGTAATTACGCACTTCCCTTTTTACTTTTGTATTTTGTTACTTATTACGAATTTCTATTTTTTACAGTTTTAAAAGTATGATAGAAAATTACAGTTTGAAAAAAAAAATGTAGTCTTCACTTTCTGCGTAATAGCTTGCATATTAATAATGATTACATTGTGTTGTACAAAATAATAATAGTCGCTAAAACATTCTTAGAATTTTTTTCCTTGAATCAATAGACTGGATGTATTAAATGAACTTAATACATCAGTTATTTCTAATTTAATAACATGAAAAATTTAAAGGAATAAAATGTAATATTGCAATGAAAATACCTCTTGCAAACTGAGAACGTATATTTCAACGAGTGCATACAAGTATGCGTGGATTTAACTAAAACTATTTAAGATTATTTTTTTAAAATTGCCAACACTAAGGCCTTTAGGACGTCAAGGCGGAATAGTTGTGCCAAGCGATTCGCGCCAGCCCCGATGCCATAGAACTGTCAGGGCTTAGTGCACTCGAATGAATGCAGATTGGTCCACGCTAATAAGCCCTCGGCACTCTATAAATCCCACACCCACAAACGCGCTCAGCTGTCGCACAGTTAGCACAAACGAAACCCATCGCATTCCCCAAATTAATTAATAATGAATTACTTAGGATTAAAGTTAATTATTAATTAATCAGCATCCTTTATCTCAACATCATTAATTAATTACAAATATTTATATCGGTTATGGTTCGAAAAATCAAAAAGGCCGCTCCAGGATATTTGTTCCACTGTATATTTTTTTTTATGTAAGAATTTACCAAGCGGGCTGCTGGTTCACCTGATGTGATAGCCGCGTGGACATTTGATACACCTTGAACCGTTGCTTTTGACGAAGTGGGCCCCGGCTACTTCATTCACCGGTTGAAACGCATGAGTATTAAACTTCAACTTCACGCTGGTCTTCTGTGTGATCCTGTTACTTCCTCGGATGGACCTGACCATGCATGCAACAGAGAAGACTGTTGCGTGGCCCTACCCCAGTAAAATTTTTGTTCCCTCGATTAATCAATGGCATAAGTGACTTATACTTTAAATTAAGCATATCCATTATATTCATGCTTACCACATTCACGCGTACAAATTCTGCGGACGCTAGTAAGAGTCAAGAGCCGAGCAAACTTTTCGCAACGTCGATATATCAAATTAATATCTGTTTCGACGTTCAAGCGTTCGGAGCCATCGGATCGCGGAACCTCCGTCCATTAGCATACATATCCACTTTATATTGAAAGTTAAAAACCGTATTGTGTAGCAAACGAATGTTTATTGACACACATGCCGCATAAATAATATAACTCGTTATTCATTGGATAATCTAGATTAGTTTAGTGCTTAACATAAATTATACGTGAACTGATTCTTTTCGTATCTCTTGCGAAAGGTAGAGTTC